ACATGCTAAAATATGCTGTGTTGCCTATACTTTTTTGTGGTCTTTATGATTTTCTTTCCCTTTGGCTTCTAATTTTTACAGCAATATTAATTAACTTAACCTGTGTCAGCATGTGCTATAGTTTCCCATGAAATACACTGCTTGATGTGTGAAACATTGTTTTACTGTAGTTGTCACAAGGTTTTAGCCAAAAACATTTATTCACAGTTATGGCAGAGAGGCACATACATATTTTTTTTATTTGCCACTGTTTTACAATCATCAACATTATATAAAAAACACACGTAGGTCAACTGGTGGTTTTGGATAGTAAATAAAATGGCTATATTTGTGTCGTAGACATTGTGACCCCTGGTTCCCATCACCACCACTATAAAGAAATCTGAGTCAGTAAGTTTCTCTACAACAAACAATTTCACATCAAACTACTCTGAATGACTTTGATAACGTCCAAACAATTGAATTATGCAGGTATTTTGAATAATCTGTGGAATTCTAAATTAAGTGCTTTAACCAGCCAACATACTAGCAAACTGGTTAGCAACCTAAGGAATTTAGGTTGTCGGTACGTTTTCATGTATATACAACCATAAAGATGAATCATTTACAGTATTAATGTTGTGAAGAGATGTGAGTGACTATAACTGATTAGTACTACTCTTCCCACAGCATACCAGTGCTTGCAATAGTTTCCTTTCCCATGTGTCCTCTGAAAATTTTCAATGAAGTTATGACTCCATCAGTTCTCTGGTGGTGTATTTAAAGACAGTTACAAAAAGGCTATCTAAGGGAGGTCCACCAGAAAGGTTGTACACACTGAGGTGTCCTAAAGTCACAGGGGGTATAATACATCTCAGCTGATTGTATCATGTTTTTAGCAATGCAAAGAAATATTATTAGACAGTTATAATAAACGACTGGAGAAAACGTTTAATATTTTTCATGTTTAACGCAATTAAGGAAATACAACGAGATGGACCTGTTTTGACCAGAATGACATTTGATTACACAAACTGCTACCTTTAGCACTGGAAACTGCCAAGAAGGGCAGTTTCTTTTGGTGACATCACTGTGGACCATCAGCACACATGCTTTAATTGGGAAATGAATGAATTCAAATAATGCATCACTACCTGCTATTGTAGAACACGTAAGGTACAACACAAAACACATTTCAACTTGCTATGCTAAGTAGAAGTAATAATAATCAGTTCAGTTTATATAGCACCTTTCACAAACACAAGTATAAATCAAATACGAGATTGTGACATAAAAACACAAAACTTGAAAAACTTAAAGAAACTGGAAAAAATGGGACTTGATTGATACAATTGAAAGATAAACAGTCTGATTTTGATTCTCTTTACCTTTTCAATGCATAGTTGATACTATGTAGTCAACACATGTTTTAAGAAAACTTGAGTAAGCAAAATGTTTAGCCTTTTTTGGATTTCTTCTTGAAATTGGAAACAGGGAGTATTGTTTAATTTTCTCCTTGGGATTAAGTCAACATATTAAAAGAGGCTTTCTTAATTTCATTCATTACTCTGAGTAACTTTCTTTTGTGCAATTAGGTAATTTTTCCAAATTCAAGCGGTTACAAAACACAATGCCTCTATTTGCTTACTAATTTAATAAATGTTACATTTCTGTCCAGAGCAATTAATAATAATAAAAATAATTCACATTTTTCCCATTCTTAGAAATATCTACCTATCACTACCTTCATATAGACGCATGTATGTTTAGTCTTTGAAAAAGACAATCAAACAAACAAACCTAATGTAAGGAATGCATTTGGCCATAACGTAGGGTCTGAAGCAGGTTGCAAATGCAAAGTGGTATTCTTAGGAGCTGTCCAACACTCATTGTCCATATAACAGGCAGGGGTCAACACATAAGCATGCAATAGCAAAGGCAGATCCATCTTAGAAATGAAAAAAAAAAAAACACAGAAAGACACACAGGTACAAGCGCAGAAACTTCACAACCACCAAAAGAAACAAAGTGGTATATATGGGAGTCTTAATGTCCTAGAAAAGAGCCAGGGAGAGTCCAAGTCGAGTCTCCCTAAATGGGGAGACATGACAGGTTACCTAAAGTACCTGGCAAGATAACAGTAGGTCACATTTGTAGCATCATCAGACGTATCAAACTCCATTAATCATTGCTGCATACTAACTTTTAACCAACCTTGAAGGCCAAGATGTATCTACATCAGCCTTTGAGACAACTTGACAGGATCTTGGTATTTCCAGCTTATAAAGCCTTTTGCTGTACTGCACTGTCTTTCTCTCATTTGTTGTCATGCACCTGGCTAGCTAGGACATACGTTTTTTCTCCAGTTTCCTCTGCTGAGGTGTTTTCATTCCCTGTTATCAGGTATAGTTTCATTTCATTCAAAAATATTTTTCTCTCTGATGTTTGAACAGTATAACCTTTTTTGTTCTTCAATGGTCTAGTGTCATTTCTCTCTGTCTCTCTCTCTACTCTCTGTCTCTGTTCAGTTGTGGGTAAATGTTGATGGAAATTTCACTTGCAGTCCTGGTAGTGATTTCAGTAAAATCAGTTTCCTGTTTTAAAACTGCTCTGAGATTTAGGACTAGTTTTAAATTAAATATCAGATTAGGCCTACCTATTTCAAGGTGAGCCAACTTGCTTCAAGTAATAGTATTTCACTAGTATTAAGTAATTTACACTTAAATTAGTGATTTATTTTCATGTTCCTTGGCCTTGACTTTTTTCAGTGTGCTAAATTTAAGAATAAAAAAACGAATTGAGAATTATTTAATATTTAGCCTATTTCACTTATTACTGTCCTGTAACAAGTCTGATCTCAAGTAATTTGATCTAAAAACCAACATTTTCTACTCGTTTCAAACATTTGAACACTTATCAGAGCCTTCTTATTTCTGGACTGGGGCCAACTTATTTTAAGATTTCTTGTCAAGTAAAGATGTCTTGCTGTACAGACAAAAAATTTCACTAGTATTAAGTCATTTTCTCTTCACATTCAGTATTTATCGCTTGTATTTCAACTAATCTTTTTTGCAGTGAATGATTGTATTAAAACATTGTGACTAACAGTAGCAACTAACACATCAGTAGTAGGCCTTAGCACAGACACTAGTTAGACAATATGTTTAAGCAAACAAATATGACACAATTTCTTACATTATGCAAGAATAAATCTGACAGAATATATTTACTGAAGGATTTACAGTAGAAAACAGCATGCAAAGTAAAGACCATGTTACATGTATGTCTTACAGACTTCAGATGTTTAAGGTAGAACTGCATAGTATAAAACCAGGTGTGAAAAGTGAATGTGCATTGCTGTTAGCTTGGCGCTAACAAAACAAGTAATATTATCACAGTGATCATAATGTTACGTCAATGCTGCATCTTAGTAGCCTATATTGTTTATTTAGTTTGCTTGCAGTCTTTGTTGCATAATAAACAGTTTTATAGCGTCATTTTCACAGCTGATTAGTTGGATGTGGTTGTAAAGTACTGTTGTGGTGCATGTGACAGCAATAAGCGTGGACTCTACCTTAGCAGAGCCCCATTTTGGCTCGGCCAATCAGACGGCATTCAAGGCATTGGCGATAAATGACCACCAGCAAATAAAAAACTGACCGTCCCTCCTTCGCCAACAACAGCATACACGACAAAGACAAGTAAACAGAAGAAGACAAATGAAGAAAAGCAAGCTAAAAAAGAAAGAATTACACATAGCCCAAGATAACACAAGAGTAACATCCGAGTGGCTTTTCAGAGGTGGAGGGAACTATGGGACCTGAAAAGCTTCACATCTGATGCAGAGTTAGACACATGTCTGCTTGACTGGCAACTACCCTTGCGTGATTTATGTTTTATTGGATTTTCGAAAAAAAATGTAACTACAAAATAACAACAGTGGTTACAGTAACACTCTGTAGCGCAAGTGCGTGTTGGTTGCCATGGTTGCTAGCCTGCGCACGCATAGCTGCCTCCTCTGCGGGGAGGGGTTTTGGAGGTAGGGCTGGAGCGCAGCGCAGAGGGAAGGCGGAACCTGGAAGTTGTACACCAGAGGTCACTAATAGGCGGGCCGCGGTCCGAGTCCGGACCCAGACGCTGTCCTATATACCCGAAAAAGTATGGAGAATTATTTAATTTCGACGGGGTGGTCCTATTTTAATCGGCGTAACTTTTCTAGCCTTTACGGTACGGCTTTAGCGGCCCGGGAGACTCACAGACCAATCGCATGCGTTTTAAATATCACATGTGGCGCTCCTCAGCCAATCAGATCTGTGCATTATGATGCGACTGGAGTAAGTGACGCGCACACACAGGGGAGGGACGAGGCGAGACACAGCACTCGGAGGAGAAAGTGAGTCGGAGGGAAGTAATTTCACATGACGTGCTCTAAAAAGAGAAAACGGACAATAAATGTTGCTGAAATATTACTGAATTGTACTTTATTTGATTTGACATTCAGTTGTTGACTACATAAGATGTTGATATACCTACTAGGCTACTTCAGTATACAGTATATGACACTGAATCATGAAGTTAGACATTATGATGCTCCAGACCTTTGCTTGAGGATATTTTCTCTAACTGGACCTTATTGAATTTTAATTGAAGACCCCTGTTGTACACGTTCCAAGACCACTCTCTTCTCAATCATAGCTACTGCAGGGTGTCCTAGTGTCTCAAAGGAAAGTTACTATATTTCTCAGGTATCCCTGAAAAAACAACTCAGTTTTAGATACCTAGGAAAAAAAAAGATAAAGGGGGAAGCCTTCAACCCTCCACCATGTTCTGTACGCCCAAACATTGGTTCTTTTTCAGTCCATTGTTTTATCAACACGGCAACATTACAAAACTCCTTCTGGTGCAATGACAGAAAAATCAGCCAATATGTGCTATATCTACACTTTTTAGTTACCGTGCACAAAATATTTATGAACCATGTTAACATCCAAAAGAAATAAAATACGACTCAATCTTCAAAGTATATTCACAAGATATTTATTAACAAAAATGTTTTATGCATTACAGTAATCATTTACAAACCATGCTTAAGGTAACAGTTATTTCCATAGACTTAAGTCTTTGCTTGTGAAGAGTGTAAACAATTCAACAGATCAATAAATATCCTCTATATTTATTTGTCATTAACCCCAAAAACAACACAAGTCCTTCTTCACTGGCAAAGTGATTGTCATTTCAGGCACTTGTGAAAATGAAACAAACCATGTACAAGATGAATGTACTTAGTAATTCAGACCACAACCATTGGCATTTTTATTCAAGTATAGCCTAAAAAGCATGCTGCATGTTGTATTGGTGCTGTGTGCAAATGCTTTTGTACCCTATTGCTCTACACAGTAATTTGTAGAGCCCATGATTTAATGGGCTTTTTCCAATAGACGCCAAATTTACTCTTATCTCACGGAGCCTAATGATTCACATGAAGTCATTATAGACAGAGGCACCCAGTGGTGCATGTGACCCAGTAACACATTCCCAGCTGTGTAATCTAAATTCTTGAATTCAATGTATAGCTTTGATCTGAACAGGCAGACCTTTAAACCACAAATAAAAGGCCATAAAATGCAGAATATCTGATAAGCTCTTGAAGAACCAAGAATCTTGAAATACCAAGAATATGACCATTCTCTATTCCATCAACTGTATGCTTGTCCATAAAGTTCTACACTAATTGTATGATTTTTATGTCCCTTTTCAGTTAAAAAATTCTCAGAAACATCTGTAGTCTGCAGCCTGAAGGGAAAACTCATTCCCATGTATTTACCTCAGTACATCTTACAGGGGCTTATTTTTAACCAAGGCCCAGCAGGTACTGACTCTTGCTCCTCTGCAAAGCTGTGTATAAGAGAATGCACGTGTTTATTTATGTGTATACCTGTGCATACACATGTGACTTTTCTCTCTACGATGCTCTTCCGTTTAGTGTAAGCAGAGCGCTGTCCTCTCCTCTGTACCCCTTACAGCAGGAGTCACAGTGTTGCGGTTACTTCCTGCTCTTCAGTATCGGCTCCGAGGCCCCCTTGACATGGTGAGGGGGAGTGTGACAGAGGACAGAGATGACACTTCCCAGTAAAGACTTCGAGAAAGGAAGAGCCTGTACAAGATGACCACAGAGATGGACTGGCACAGAATCACACCAATGGTTATGATCTAAAAATAAACAGTGGGAAAATGTAAGGTCAGAAGATGTGCTCGAGGTTTTTTTTTTTTTGTACTATTGTTGGTACCATAGTGTCGACAGCCTATGGCAAATATGTCCTCTTACCTTTTCTTTCTGATGCTCATTGAATATTACAGAAAGGAAAACAAGGACTGGATGACAAAGGAACCACAGGAAACAGCCCTAAAACAAAACACGGCTTTATTAAAGAAGAATAGTATAAATTCAATTGTATATTGGTTTGACGAGTCCATATGCAACAAATATTCAATATTAATTTGATATTTTGATTTTATTTAAAATAATCTGAATTGCTAAAATACTTGAGTGATAACCGATTCTATATAACCAGAAATAAATGAAATATGCACTGTTCTATTCTGTTTTAGAGCTCTAGAGGTGACTTTATTCATCTTTAAAGTAAGGTGCAAGCCAAATATGTTTCCTACTGCTTTGGCTTCCTAGCAAGTAGCAAGCATGCCCTCGGTTGCCACTAATTCCAAGAATACATGAGAGCGTGTTGGCCACATAGCTGCATGTAGCTGTGGAATTTAGATTTGGATTGCACCAGCTGTTAAAATTTATAAAACTGATCTCATGGCCTGGTATAAAGCAATTCCTAAGCAACTTTCAAACTGTGAATAGTGAATTTGAAATAATGCTTAAACACTTTTACCAAATTAATGATAACAAATCAGATCTTGTTTCTTTCATTTAGAGATTAAAACAAAACATCTCTTATACTTATAGAATATTTCAATATTCATTATGGTATTTGAAAGAACATAGAAAATAAAAATACAGTTAGCTCCATAAGTATTTGGACAGTGACACAATTTTTGCAATTTTGCCTCAGTACACCACCACAATGGATTTGAAATGAAGCATTCAAGATGTCATTGAAGTGTAGACTTTCAGCTTCAATTCAAGGGGTTTAACAAAAATATTGCATTAACTGCTTAGTAATTACAGCCATATAGATCCTCCATTTTCCATACATATTCCCTCCATTTTCACAGAAGACAACTAAAGTAAATGATCACAGAATTCTTTCTGTGGTGAAGAAAAACACCTTCACAAAATCTAGTCAAGTCAAGGACATTCTCAGGGAGAAATTGACATTTCATTGTCAAAGTCTACAATCAAGAGTCACCTTCATGAATGTAAATGAAGAGGGTTTACCCAAAGATGCAAACCACTGGAAACACCCAAGGACAGAAAGGCCAAATTAGACTTTGCTAGAAAACATCTAAAAAAAACTGCCCAGTTCTAGAACAAGATTCTTTGGACAGATAAAAATGAAATTAACTTGTACAAAAATGATGGGAATAGAAAAGTATGTAGAAGGAAAGGAAAGACATCATCTGTAAAACATGGTGGAGGCAGTGCTATGGCATAGGCATATATGGCTGCCAAAAGAACTGGGTCACTGGTGTTTATTGATGATGTGGCTGCTGATGTGAAGTAGCAGGATGAATGTTGAAGTGTATAGAGCTATACTTTCTGCTAAGATTTAGTCAAATGCTGCAAAACTGATAGGATGGCACTTCATATTATGTACATATTAACATTGAAAGCAACCCAAGTGGTTCTTAGGGCAGAAAAATGGAATGTCCTTTAATGGTCAGTCACCTGATCTCAACCGAATGGAGCATGCATTTCACTTAGTGAAGGCAGAAAGACCCAGAAACTGAAGGCAGCTGCAGTAAAAGCCTGGCAAAGCAATTCAGGGAAGGAAACTCAGCATTTAGTGAAGTCCATGGATTTGCAGACACTGTCTGTAAAGGATCTGCATCCAAATATAAAAAATAATCCTTATATTTATGTGTTAGTTTGTCCAGTTACTTTTGAGACTGCAAAAATAGAGGGATTATGTCAAAATGGCTGTAATTACTAAGCAGTTAATGCAATATTTTTGTTAAACCCCTTGAATTGAAGCTGAAAGTCTACACTTCAATGACATCTTGAATGCTTCATTTCAAATCCATTGTGGTGGTGTACTGAGGCAAAATTGCAAAAATTGTGTCACTGCCCAAATACTTATGGACCTAACTGTTTTCGATAGTTGTAAACCTAATGATGACCAAGTTCATTCCGAACATATACGCTTACCAAGCACTTTATTAGTAATACTATTACTATTAGTAATACTATACTGGGTAGGGCCCCCCTTTGTTTTCAAAACAGCCTCAGATCAAACCGCCATTAGAAGATGGGTAAATTGTGGTCATGAAGGGATGCACATGGTCAACAATACTCAAATAGGCTGTGGCATTCAAGCAATGACTGATTGGTATTAACAGGCCCAACAGAGTGCCAAGAAAACACCACCCACACCATTACATCACTGCTGACACAAGGCATGTTGGGTCCATGGGTTTATGCTGTTGGTGCCAAATTCTGACCCTATCATCTGTGTGCCTCCACAGAAATCAAGATTTATTAGACCAGGCTGCATTTTTCCAGTCTTCAACTGACCAGTTTTGGTGAGCCTGTGCCCACTGCATCCTCAGCATTCTGTTCTTGGCTGACAGTAGTGGTCTTCTGCAGTTGTGGCCTATCCGCTTCAAGGTTTGGTGTGTTGTGCAAACTGAAATGCTTTCCTACCCATCACATTTTTACAGAGTGGTTTTCTGAGTTAGCCTTTCTGTCAGCTCATTATTTGATGTTAGCCTTTCTGTCAGCTCAAAAACGTCTGGCCATTCTTTGTTGACCTCTCTCATCAACAAGGCCTAATAAAATGAGTGTATATTAGTGATGATAGTGAATAAAAGTAGTAATAAGGGGGAAAAAGAAAAAGTCACTGGATAATACTGAGATGGGTGGATTATTAGATCCAATTACCCACGATAACTGATGACTGTCTAATTTAAGGAAATAACTAGAAGTGCTCCGAATAAATATTTTGTTATCCCCTATCATGCCTATCCTCTGCTCTATAACCCAGAGAGTCCTATTCCAGTTCTGATGGCCACAGCACTGCACTTTAGTGCTTCCCTAATTTAATATCCCTGATTCTACTTATTAGCAAAATACCATTATCCAGTCCATTATGTATTGGGAGCTAGAGTAAGGTAAGCACTAAACTTTGCAAAAGAGGTTGATATAAGTTCTCCAAACAGTACTTCCCAATGCTGGCCAAAGGCTGAGCTCTCCTTGTGCGTCTTAACATCTCTCAGAGTTTAATCCTTACTTAGTGATTTCCACTGGCACAGTGACTTCATACTTTTGCACCAGGTAAGTGTTTCAGCCCAGATCTATAGCTGTACTTGTAGAAATTGTGAGCAGAGAGAACTGCTTTACCTTTGCAAAACTGAGATAGAAGTCCCTCTTGAGTGTGCTCCTCTCTGCAGAGATAATCTGGTACAATACGGATGCAAGTAGTAGAGCAAGGGACACACGCAGTGCCATCAGTAGTAAGCCAGCTAGACTGCGGTGAGCATGATAACTATGGTGCTCGGTATCCTCAAACTGCTCCCAGATCAGAAGCGCCCCCTATAGGGTCATAGAGGTAAAAACACACATTTTGTACAATCAGTGGGTTTTACATTGTTACGTTCAATTTCTTTTGTGTGAGTAGATTAGACAGTAAGCAAAAACAGACAGGTTAAAGTAAAAGTGACATCACACATACAGTTAAAAGGCTAGCAGTTATACAGTTAAAAGTGCTTTCACTGTTTGAGCAGTCCGGGGAAAGAATACTAAGTCCAAAAAAAACAAATGCAGTAAATAATAACTGATCCACTGAAATACTATGATGTCATCTGCATAATGCTAAATGGTCCCTGCTAATTCCAAATTTAATCCCAAAAAGCCCAAATCAGAAAAAGTTGGGATGGTATGGAAAATGCAAATAAAAAAACAAAAAGCATTGAATTCTAAAATTTACTTTGACTTGTATTTCATTGCAAAAAGTATGATAACAAGATATTTAAAATTTAGTCTGGTCAACATAATTTCATTTGTAAATATACGTCCATTCCTGCCATTCAGACCTGTATTACATTGCAAAAATAATTGGGACGGGGCAATTTAGGACTAGGAATGAGGTAAAACAATTAAATAATGATGTGATTTGCAACAAGTGACGCCAACAGGTTATTGTAATTATGATTTGGAACAAAAGCAGAACCCAGAAAGACCTAGGAGCAAAGACGGGCCAAGAATCGCCAGTTTGCCAGCAAATGCATGAGACAATTCTTGAAATGTTTAAAAACAATGTTTGTCAAAGAAAGATAGAAATGGATATGGATATTTCACCCTTTATGGTGCACAACATTATTATAGGTTTAAGGAATCTGTAGGAATTTCACTGTGCAAAGTGCAAGGGCGCAAGCCTAAGCTGAATAACTCTGCTCTCTGATCCCTCAGACAGCAGTGCATCAAGAACCATCATTCATCTATAAGCGATATAACCACATGGGCTCAGGGTTATCTTGGCAAACCTTTGTCAAGCACTACAATATGTGGTTACATCCAAAAATGCCAGTTAAATCTTTACTATAAGCGGTGTGGACTGGGCATGGAGGCATCTGGGATGGATCATCATACAGTGGAAATGTGTATTGTGGTCAGACAAATCAGTATTTCAGGGCTTTTTTGTAGGAAATTGACACCATGTGCTCTGGACCAAAGACAAAAAGGACCATCCAGACTGTTACCAGCAACAAGTCCAAAAGCCAGGGTCTAGCACCACTAATGCCGAAAAATACATAGAGATTTTGGATTAATATATAAGATAACGTCTTTTCCAGGGACTCCCCTGCATATTTTAACAAGACAGTGCAAAACCACATTCTGCACACATCACAAGGTATAACTGCGGAAAAAGAGGGTGCGGTTGCTGGAGTGGCCTGTCTACAGCCCTGATCTGACCCCAAAAGTGGCGCATTTTAAAACGCAACCCAGAATGCAACAACGAAGACTCCGTACTGCTGCACACATTTAAACTTGTTTGCAGAAAGAATGGGACAAAATTACACTTGAAACACTCCATCACTTGGTGTCTTCAGTGCCTGAACATCTTTTAAGTGTTGTAACAAGGAATGACAATGCTTTACTGTCCCAACATTTTTTGATATATGTTGCAAGAATCGAAATTGAAATAAGTGTATTTTTTTTTTATAAAAAACAATCAAATATATGAGGTAAAACATCAAATAATGTGCTGTTGTATTGTTTTCAACATAATATTCCAGTTTTATGTACTATCCAGTAACTAATATTATTTATTCGGTAAATACTATGTAAATTATATAGTTAAGAGCGAGAGAAACTGAAGCAGAGGCCCACTTGGGGTTAAAATATTAACCACAAGTAGTATGTTTTGATGAACTATTATTTTAAAGTTACAGACTGGTTGCAGGCTGACCTGTGTGACAACTCCACCAAGAGCGAGAGCAGTGGATGCAGGGGAGGAGTCCCACTGCAGGGGCTTACTCTGGGACTTCCTGCCTCGGCTCAGCGTCCAGCCCATGCACAGACTCAGCAACATGTACAGCATCTGCACTTGCGCCACCATGTCACACACTACATGCAGACATATTCAGAACAGAAGCACTTGTCACAGATATGTCTTCCAAAGAATATCAATAAATTCTGTTGTTCTGTGTCATTTTCATTTTGGCTTTACTAGGGATTGTAGAAATATGTTGTGAGAGGTGGAAAAAAATAGAGAGAAATGATACTTAACTGACAGTATGTGTACAATCGTGGTAGGAAGTGTGAATAAAGTCTTAGTTATAACAGGAAGTATGGAGATAAAAACATACTTCAGTGGAAATCAGAAAGTATCTATATCTAAACATACTTATGCATATAAAAGTAAATAGCATTGACAAATAAATAAAACATTTTCGTTGTGTGGTTGTGTGTGGTGTGGTGTGGTACTAGCCTTGAAATTAGAGACAAATGTACATAGTTTTGGGCAGTTTCATTTTACACTGATATGAATTTGGTTGGATGTTTTACTAAAAATAATACACTCAAATGCAAAAGACCTCAACTTACTGGCAAGAGAAAAAAGGCAAAATCTGGCCTTTGAGGTTTGCAACAAGTACAGCGGTATGCAAAAGTTTGAATGCCCCCCAGTCAAGTTAAATATTTTGCTGATTTAACAAATCCTTTAAAGGAAATAAATATAACATATTTGAAAAAAAAAACATGACATAAAATGTGTCAGAACTTTTGCACAGGCCATTTTATATTTTTAAGTTAATTTTAGTAAATAAACAGTAATTGTGCATTAAAATGTGTAGAAGTGTGTTCCCCGTAGAGGATGTGTTCTACGTGAACTTATTTTCACTTAGAAAATGAACAAAACATGTAATTTGACCAGGGTTGCCCAAATTTTGCATTAAACTCTTGAAAATGTACTTGAGTAAGAGTACAAGTATTCAGCTTAAAAAATACTCAAGTACAAATCTTACAAAACAATACTGCAGTATAGTAACGAAGTACAATTACACTAGTGTTTATTAGTATTTTTGTTGTATTGTACACTATTAATGGTAAATAGTGTGGATGCATCAAATGAAGAGCAAGACTCACACTCTGCTAGGCTGCCCATTAAAGGAGTTCCCACCCCATCTCTAGCATACCTGTAGAATGGAAACAGGCATGATGAACACCACATACAGACAGCGTTGTCTTTCTGACAGAAAATGAGATGTACAGCTAATATGGCAGTTGCATAGTTGCATCTCACCTGGCCATGTGAATGTAGTTAAAGAGCACAGATAGACCTTGCAGTAAAAGTGCTGTAGACAGGACCTTGAGTACAGTATGCATGGGACCACCCTTATTCAAAGCCTGCCACAGTGGCTGTATGTAGATACAGCAGGCCACAAAATAGGCCAGGATCAGCATGAAGTAAAAGCTATGTAAACCTGGTGAGGGCAAGAGGATGACACTGTGTCACAATATTCGCTAGTATAGGCTTAGAAGAAGCTTGATAAGTTAATTTAAACAAATTAGGCAAATATAATACAATATGATATGACATCATCTCAGAGTGCTCTCTTATTAGGAAATGTCAGGATCAAACTTACCGGCCTCCTCAGCGCTGAAGTGGTCCAGTGGATTGCCTGCAGAGTCTGGGTTTAACATGGTGAGCTGAAAGCCCACACCCTCAATCACTCCATCCATCTCCTCTTCTTGACAGGTGTAGCGATCTGCATACATCACATGCCAGGCCTGGGGGCTCACCTGCCGAGGTATGGTCTCATTGTGCTCTTCTGAGCTCAGGGTGACTGCAAAAGTATTATAAATGTGATGACATTATTCTTGTTTGAGAATAATGTCATTTGAGAATCATGATCATATGTTTGACACTTAACAACAATAATATAACAACTACTACTAAAATAATATCTGTAAAATCATTACTATACATACAATAATGTGACTAATACATACTTATAATACATGTGAACTCATGTAATTTCTTTTTCTAAATGGAAGGTCAACATATACCATTATATCTCCTTCTGTCTGTGTGCTATATACACTGAGCAGACATTTCATTAGTATTTTTATCTGTTATATGTGTGCTTTGTAGTTTTACAATGACAGACTGTAGTCCAACTGTTTCTTTGCATACTTTGTTAGCCCCTTTTTACCCTGTTCTTCAATGGCCAGGACCCCCACAGGACCCCCACAGAGTAGGTATTATCTGGGTGGTGGGTCACCCTCAGCACTGCAGTAGCATTGACGTGGTGGTGTTATGTTAGTGTGTGTTGCACAGGTATGAGTGGATCAGACACATCAGTGCTACTGGAGTTTTTAAACACTGTGTCCACTCACTGTCCACTCTATTAGACACTCCTACCTTGTCAGTCCACCTTGTAGATGTAAAGACTGAGAAAATAACTCATTTGCTGCTGCACAGTTTGTGTTAGTTTTCTAACTTCATCAGTGGTCACAGAACACCACATTAGTGTCACCGCAGCGCCAAGGATGAGCCAACATCCAAATAATACCTGCTCTGTGGTGGTTGGTGGGGGTTTAAAAAGCTGTAGCCATATAGGCCTCATGACCTGATCATTTATAATCATACGGATTCAAGTTAGCAAATGCCTTTCTTTTTTTTCTATAGATTGTAACTGTGTTTTTTTTTCATTTGAACCGTAATGTTTTGTCTTCCCAATATTTTGATTAGGTTCCTTTGCAAAGATTCTCTGCAGATGTGAGATTTTGCTGCAAAAAACAGGTAAAGGTAACTCTTATTATTATTGTAATTAGGCTCAAAATCCTGTTTTAAAATTGCAACCAATGTGTTATGATCTGCTATTTTAAAAAGTTTCAATTTTAAAAATCCCTGCACCTTTATTTTATTAAGCAGCACATTTAGTTAAGAAATAATACCTGAAAAAATGAACTAAGACTTTTAGAAGAAAGGTCAATGACAGATATCCTAGGCTTTTAGCTAAATCAGTGGTACAAATATCTAATATTGATTTTTATCACCACCAACAACAAAACAGTAATGAAGATGGTTCATTTATCCTGTACTGAAAATGAATATCATCAATGTTTAAAATGTGCTTTGTCATGTCATCTTAAGGTAATTTGCGAGGAAGCACATTTACAGAAGTTACTACTACGAAAAAGCCATGCACGGACTCAAAGACATTCAAAACCCATATCTCTGAAACTTGAATTTTTCATAGCTGAGAGAGTAAGCAATGACCATCTTTGGTCCAGTAAGCCTAAAGGTTATTCCCAAGTATATGTCAGATGTTTTAAAGCAAGGGTATAGGCCTATGGAAGTAGAGGTATTTAGAGAATAACTACTGTAAAACATCCCCCTTCTTAACCAGAAACCTGAGTAAGGAACGTTTTGATGTCTGATGCAGGAACAGAACAAGGCTGGGGACATGATGGTTTAATGAGAAGACAAACTGCTGGGAAAGATTTTAACACAATGTGAACAAGGGACTGGACTCACTAGTAAGCCGAGCTGCTGACACTCTGTCCAGACAACTTAAGTTGTCAAAGCCCTCCAGGCCCTGAAACAGCAGCAGCCTGGCCTCCTTCTGCACTGCCAAGGGCACGTTCTCCAGTCTGTAAGCCATCATGCCATTCTCCCCTAAAGAGAGAAAGATGTACACACAGTTGATTAAGCTTGATATTGAACTAATACGTTTTTATGTACATAACATAAGCTCACTGTAATGTATATTCAATCACTGTGACAATCAGCTTAACAGATTTATCTTAAGTGTATAAGCCTGCAATGCACATAATATACCTGCTTAACTTTATCTATACGTTAAAGCATCCTAAGTTGATGCACATTAAAAGGAGCCTCCATGGTACAAAACGTTAATATGATCTCAAAAGACCAATTAAACTGCTCTGTATTTTTGAATGGATAAAATCACCTACCGTGATACAGAAATCTTGTAATATATTGCCCATTGTTTTCCCTCGCTGTGTCGCTCCGAAACACTCCTGATACGGTTTTTCCCACAGCAGGACAAACACTGTGCATGAAAGCGATCAGAATGACTGAAAACGAATACATCGTTTCATCACTACCAACCGAAAATAATGACTTATATTCCTCATAAACGGCAATGAATGAGGACGGCACTTTGCAGACTGCTCCCTTTCCTCTGACTGTTTTTGATTGACGGGCTTAGTGACCATTCAATTGTAGAGGATTTCCTCCGCGAACGTCGGTGCAGCCAATGAGGAGAGCGCGGAGGCGGGACAACGGCTGGGCAACGCTGGCAGCTGATATGATACGTGTCAGCACTGCCGTAAAGCGTCCAATGGGTCGTAAAGTGCGTTTGTGAGTTTGTGTGAGATGTTGGTTAGTTAGCTGAGAGCGTTTACAATGTTTGTGATTTAGTAATTGAATTTAAAAGAATTGTGAAGCCGTATACATATAATTGTGTTTACCCGTGTTGTGAAATGCATAAGTAATTGTTTTAAAGCGGTTTAAAGCTAACCGTTAATGCTGAACAGTGTTAGGCTACAGCATAGCTTGAGCGTTGCCTCTGTCTTCTGGTGTTGCTGTTATAAAGTAGACTTTGAGTCGGGTCGGACCACTTAGGTTGGCTGTCATGTTGGGACCCGACCTAATCACGGTCAATACAGAGGGAAAAACATCTCCTAACTGACGAATAATGTGAATATCTCAAGAGCAGCGATGTCAGATCAAAGTGAGAAACAGCCTGAGCTCAGCAAACTAAAGCTGGGCTGTAAGACAGTTCTTGTGACTGGGGGAGCTGGTTTCATGTAAGTGCAGTTTATTTCTTTGTTCAAAAATTAAAGTGTTTACAGCATACCTTTTTAGCTTTGTGCCACATAAATAATCGAACTGCTCTTCCTGGTTAGTGGGTCACATCTTATCATACTATTGGCTGTGAGATATCCTCTGTGGCGAATCATCAATATTGATTCAGTGAGTAAATTAAACATAATTCTTTATTTACAATTATTTGTTAAAAAAAACACATACTATCGATATATGATCTAAATACTCTCATAGATTTTTAAATGTATTCTATTTCAGTTGGACTACTGCTCAAGTCTGAAGAACCTCAAATGTCTTGAGAACACAAGGACTTACAAATTCATTCAGGTAAGTTTTAAATATAGGAACTCTTACATTACCATCCCTCTTCATAATAGGACAAAATGATCTTTAGTACTGGGCAAACATCTGAGAGCACCCTTCATTTATTTCCTTTCCAAGTTATTTATTTTCCAAGCGATATTTCTGAGGAGGTTCAATATAAGATAAACCCCTTTCATCAAGAAGGGAAAAGTCAAAAGAAAATAAGTGAAAAAATAGGGGCAACAAGTGTTATAAGTGATTTTTACAGTGTATTCATATTGGCTGGGTGTGGTTTTGGCCTGTGTAGAAAGGAGCATTGTGTGTTTTTTACACCCTTTCGAAACAAAATGTTTATGCACATGTTCAGTTTCTCATAAGACAGCATAGCAAGAATTAGACACTGCTTATAATGACTTTAGTTCAACATTTTCCCCATCGAGAAGAAAACCAAACCAAAATGATAGTTTTGATAACTAGTTTAGAGGTGGCCAACTCCAGTCCTGGAGGTCTGGAGTCTGGCACAGTTTAGTGATTTTTCTCACTCAAACACACCTGAAACTCAGCTTTGAATGCCAAGTTGAGTTGGTGTGTTAATAGTTGGTTCTGCAGTTACTTTTAGCTGGACCAATCCTGATGCTTTGAAGTGATTTTTTTAATGAATATCCTAAGTAACTTATTTCTGCACTTTGATTCCTGAAGTGTCATTTCATCCTTCAACTTCAAACATTGACAAGCCCCCACCAAAGTTGACTGCAGAATTAGTGTGCCTTTGGTGAAAGTGAGGTGATTTAAAAGCATTAAATAATTGTAGTCATGTATCAGCAAGTCTTCAACAACTGATTAATTAGGCTCTTCTCTCGACAGGGGGATATATGCGACAAGTATTTTATTAATCATCTGTTTTCTACTGAAAACATTGACATTGTTTTCCATTGTGCTGCTCAATCACATGTTGGTGAGTAATATTTTTTTTGAAAACTTAATTCAGTCGAGAATCCACCTAGTTGTACCTGATACATCTGCATTCAGTGAAGCAGGTAAATGTTGAGTATTCTATTTCTGCTTTCCCTTAGAGAATTCCTTCCTGTATCCATCTGAATTCATGCATGTGAATGCAGAAGGCACAAGTGTACTGCTTCAAGCAGCATTTGAAGCTGGAGTGGAAAAGTTCATATACATGAGCACTGATGAGGTTTATGGAGATAGCCTGGACAAGGTCAGTCTGTTTTTGCAAACATTTAAATTTTAAGCATAATCTTGGATTATAAAGTATTGTAATCCTGAACATCATCTGTTGACAGGAATTTGATGAGTTGAGTCCAAAAAGGCCAACTAATCCATATTCCACATCAAAAGCTGCTGCTGAAAACATTGTGATATCATACTGGGAAAAGCACAAGGTACTCAAAATTATGATTTGTCAATATTGCCTCCTTTCCTTACAGCCAATGCGTGGCCAGAAGAGAGCGTAATTGGCCTTGCTCTCTCTGAGTGGGTAGGATGGTCCTCCCTCTTCTCCATCACTCAGCACAATGCTGGCTAATGCATTCATCTGTTAGCTGACATAACACAATTAGGTGTTAGCACTCTCCTCCAAGCGTGTTTAGCTGTTGAATGACATAAGCATCAGTGGCTGGCTTTAAATGACTCTTAGGAGGCATGTGCTGGCCTTCACCCTCCTAGGGCTGGTAGTATGGTGTGATTAAGGGAGACCTGGGAGGGGGGGGCGCTTAATAAATAAAATATTGTCTCTTTCTTAGTTTTTCATCTTGATCTCTCTCTCATTTAACTGAGGATTTAACATTGTTTTTTTCAATTATACATTTTAGTTCCCCATAATAATAACAAGGAGCAGTAATGTGTATGGACCACGGCAATACCATGAAAAGGTATACAAGACATTGCGTTACATAAATATTTTTGTCCTTTTTTGAAAGTAGTAATATTAAACTATATAAAGTGAATTCATTTACCACCTGCTTTACTCCAGGTTATTCCAAAATTTTTACTGCTCCTACAACAAGACCAAAAATGGTAAGTTTTACTTTGTTTTACTTTAATTACAAATTAAAAGTAGTACTACTTGAGCAAATGCAACTGAGTTCTGTTCTCTCCCTTACAGCACTATTCAGGGAACAGGCCTCCAGTCTCGACATTTTCTTTATATTGAAGATGTTACGGAGGCCCTTTTGATACTCATGGAGAGGGGTGCCCTGGGGGAGATTTACAACATTGGGGCCAACTTTGAGATTCCTATCATCCAGCTTGCTAGAGAGTTGGTGAAGGTGGTAGGTTCTGTTTTTACTCAAATATCATTAGCTATTAGCAGTTCCACTTTATATAGATAGCACTTGTAAAGTTTATGTTGGTTTCTTTGTATTTCTGTGGTAATTCTTTACTGTACATTCTGTAAACCCCTCTGTTACTGAAGTCTACAGCTGCTGATAGATGATCAAGGAGCAGGCTTTTAATCAGAATGTACACATAATGAATAAATGTAGATCTAAAATTCATGACTGTGTAAGAGAAAATAAGTGTTTTGAGTCAAATTCCCAATATATGCCCAATTTCTTGGTATAATGATTCCTGTACCCTAGGTGAAGAATGCTTCCAATGATCAGCTGGATGACTGGCTACAATTCATTAAGGACAGGTGAGTAAAGGACATACACTAACATTCCAAAGTTTTCATTAATATAAAACCAAATTGGTTGCAGGCAAGTTTATAAAATGATTCTAATATGCTAATCCTATGCAACTTCACAGGTTGTGAAGAAATTTTAAATGCATCCAGAATAATGAACAGAGCATTACAAGATTCCAAAATGACTGAGAAAGTTATGTAGCACTAAGAATTAATAATAAAATCAATATGCAGAAAACATCTGGATCCAACCTCAAGGCTGTTGAAACAAGAGGAATGTAAATACAACCCCATTTCCAAAAAGTTGGGACGCTGTGCAAACAAAATGCAATAATGTGCCGATCATTTAATCCCTGTATTTCATTGAAAATAGTACAAAAACAACATACCACATATTGAAACAGAGAAATTTTATTGGTTTTTGAAAAATATATGCCCATTTTGAATTTGATACCAACAACACGTTCCAAAAAAGTTGGGATGGGGGCAAGAAAAGGCTGGTAAAGTTAAGTAATGCTAAAAAAAAACACCTGGTGGGTAATGGGAAACAGGTCAGTAACATGATTGAGTATAAACGCCCAAGCAAATAGTGCAGCAATTCAAGAATCACGTTTCTCAACGCTAAAATAGCAAAGAACTTTTGCTCTTCCTTGTCTACAGTAAATAATAACATGAAAAGATTCAGAGAATTCAGAGAAATCTCTGTATGTAAGGGACAATGCCAAAAACCAGTATTGGCTGGCTGTGATCTTTGGGCCCTCAGGCGGCACTGCATTAAAAACAGACATGATTTTGTAGTGGAAATCAATGCATGGGCTCAGGAACACTTCTGAAAACCACTGTCTGTGAAAATAGTTTGTCGCTGTATCCACAAATGCAAGTTAAAACTCTAAAAAAAAAAAAAGAAGAAACTGTACATAAACAGGATCCAGAAACACTGCCACCTTCTCTGGGCCTGAGCTCATTTAAAATGGACTGAGGGGAAGTAGAAAAGTGTTCTGTGTTCCGACAAATCAACATTTGAAATTCTTTTTGGAAATCATGGACACAGTGTCCTCTAACCGCTGAGCTTATCAGTGCACAGTTCAAAAGCCAGTATTCATGATGGTATAGGGGTGCAAGTAATACGTTCTTTAGATGTAGAACGAAATATATAAAAGTGCTTTTTGGTGAATAGTTTGTAACATTTGTGTGTACATAAGTGTAACATGTAGTGTAGCTTGGTGGCTTGTGTACCTACATAGTATTTAAGTCACTTTTAAAGTACTCTCTCACTTTTGGATAGTGAGTGTAATAATTCATGCCTTTGAGATTGTATTATTACATTTTAGGCCTGTCAGTGACTTGAGATACCCAATGATGTCAGACAAGATGCACAGACTTGGATGGAAGCCAAAGGTCTCATGGAAGGACGGCATCCGAAGGACTAGTAAGTCATTTTGAGATTTTCATTAATTTCATGCTACTTTCTTGTAAGTCTCATCTTAAACTTAGTGGCAGAGTTTGTCTTATTACCTTAAAGGGCAAATTTGACACCAAAGTGTTACAGCAAATCAAAGTTTTTCTTTATTGTCAGGAGATTGCAATGTATGGGAAACAATGTACAAATTGGATAAATAAAGTCTGTATTCTGTACTACATAACATTTATCCTGTATTGTAAAAATGTCTTTAAGTATTGTGATGTTAAATTTTAGCCATACAGCCCACAAACCATTAGTATTGCCATACTATAGAAATTATTTGCACAAGAGGGAGCTGTGATTTTACAGAGATGATTTTAAAATGCATGTTCTGATGCCTTGCGGTTCTTGGTCATAGCTCTCAGATCCTAAACTGCATGTTCTAACGTACTTAAACTTCAAAGTATTTAAAACATGTTGCTTTCTCAGGCAGTAATGGCAATGTGAACATTTGTAAAGGCTTAATGTATAGTGTATATATATATATATATATCTCAGTGCATATCTTAAGGTTCTTGTAGATCATGTATTTTTGTTATTTTGTGTTTAGTTTTAAGATGCAGTATTTTGTCTCTTTTCCTCCCAGTTAAGTGGTACGAAGAGAACACATCCTACTGGTCAATGGTCACTGAAAAGAAGCAGCACAGTCATCTGTTGACTGAGAACCATCACTTGCTTCATGATGCCAAGACCAAAGACACCTTTGCACAAAGTACTTTATCTACAAAGTAGTATTTAGTAAATACAATACTATGAACTACAGAAGCACGGACACAGATTTTCACTAAAATGCGTTTAAAAAAGTATAGAAACTCTTTAGAGATGTTATGTTTTTTTAATTTTAGTACTTATATTTTGTATATAAATACTTTTCATGTAAATGAATGTGATTGCTGCCGTAAATCTGATATATAGCAACGCTATTACATGTCTGTCACTGTGCTTATGCCTGGCTTATTTTATTTGGGAAGACAGGTGAAGCGTCTAGAAGTTCGCCTCCATAAACTGGACACAGCCCTGCTGAAAAAACCCATAGAAACCATTGTGTTTTTGTTGGTTCCTGATGGTTTTGTAATGTGTTTTACCTTTCTTAATTGGTTGACATAAAAGATCCTAATGGTTTGTCAGGTGACGGCTGATGGGTTTGATTAGCTGATTCAAAATGCATTTGATGGTTTCCTAATGGGATTTGCTTTTCTGCCTTAAATTATGAGATGGAAAAATTTGAAGAAGCCAACTTCAGCTTTGTCATTCACCATAATTTTGTTGTCTTTACTTTAAAGACAGGGTGGGGGCTAATTAGCCTCTTGGACCCCCTGAATGTCTCAATCAAAATTCTGTAGATCCCCGAAAATAAACTTACTTTGACATTATATTTTCTATCAGCGAAAAAACAGACACCCAATCGCAGATTCAGAGAAGGCTCATTGTTCAGCTGCTTCACCTACAGTCAGCGAGCTTCTGTCTTTGGTCTTCTCAACTAACTAAGGATTCAGCACTTGTCTGCCTAAGTGGGGTTCTGTAGCAAACTGGTTCACTCAGTTGGTCCTTCATAGCCTATCAACTGTAACTATGGCTGGGATATCTCTGAAAAAAATGTTACTTATTTCTCAAACCAAAGACAAAAGAGGAGCTGTGTAAGATTTGTTAATATATGGAAGACCGCATTACCAAACTAGACAAGAGCATTTCCAAAAGGAACTGTTGAACCAAACATTTTGATCCCATTGAATGCTCTCATTCAGTGCCAGCCAAAGCTGGAGTAGCCAGCCAACATGGGATCCCTGTATGCCAAGGGGTATTTCACACACTGGCACTAAGCTTGTTTTTATTTGAATACTATGCTCCCAATGCTCCCGAAAATCATAAAATAATTATCAAATACTTGGCTATCCAAGTACAATAGATTTTGTATCTTATTTAGAAGGGTACAAAAAAACTTCATATACAGCCATACACTACCAACATGCTGTCAATAAAACATAATGCATACTGACTTGTTTAGGAATCAATGATCAGGACTTGGGACTCGACTTAAGATGTACTTGTTACTTGCAACTTGTTCCTACCGCTGCTAAACAGCCTCCCATCTTCTCGTCCAGAAGGATGAAGTGTAAAGGTTAAAGCTACTGAAATTCAGTACCTCAAATTCAGAGACCTCAAACTTGTGCATTGGGTTCTTGACCCAAAATGCACTGCCCCAGAAATTATTAGATTTTACATTACTGATAAAAGGGCAGTGTCTTTACATGTCCAAGGTGGGCATTCAGTTTGCTTGAGCATACATTCCACATGGTGATGAGAACACAGACTGGTAAAACAATAAGAAATTGTGGCAGTGCAAGCCAGACAGGCCAGCACAGAGAAAGGATACCTAACATCTGTCGATGTCGGTGTACGTGTTCCAAAAGAGTAACTAAAGACGATTAAAGATAAATTCTATGTTAAATAGAAAAGCTTTTGTTTGTCCTCCATTTGCTAAAGTAACAGACTCTTACACTTCTGGGAAGGCTTTACGCTAGATCAGAGGTCACTAATACGCGGACCGCGGTCCGAGTCCGGACCCAGACGCTGTCCCATGCGGACCTGGACCTATAACCGAAAAAGTATGGAGAATTATTTAATTTCGACGGGGTGGTCCTGTTTTAATCGGCGTAACTTTTCTAGCCTTTACGGTACGACTTTAGCGGCCCGGGAGACTCACGGACCAATCGCATGCGTTGTAAATATCACATGTGGCGCTACTCAGCCAATCAGATCTGTGCATTATGAGACTGGAGTGAGTGACGCGCACACCCAAGGGAGGGACGAGGCGAGACACAGCACTCGGAGGAGAAAGTGAGTCGGAGGGAAGTAATTTCACATGACGTGCTCTAAAAAGAGAAAACGGACAATAAATGTTGTTGAAATATTACTGAATTGTACTTTATTTGATTTGACATTCAGTTGTTGACTACATGATGTTGATATACCTACTAGGCTACTTCAGTATACAGTATATGACACAGAATCATGAAGTTAGACATTATGATGCTCCAGACCTTTGCTTGAGGATATTTTCTCTAACTGGACCTTATTGAATTTTAATTAAAGACTTCTGCACTAGATAGTTGAACGTTGCTGTTAGGATTTGATTGTGTTCTCACATGAGAGCATTAGTAAGGTCAGATACTGATTTTGGATGATTAATTCTGGTGATGATCAATGCTCTCGTGGCTCTCAACAAAGAAAACAACAAAGTAAAACCACTGCTGAAACAACCCAGCAGAAAGTGCCAGATGTATTTAATTGTACTTCCAGTGGGTTAGGTAATTAATTGTCTTTTTATTTAGTTTTCTTTAAAATTCTGTCTACTGAAAGGCATATTTCATATACGAACAGCAGCCATGCTGAAAGTAGGCTTATCGGTTTCTATAGGTAGAAATAGCCCTTCTGAGGCTGCACCGAAGTGTTACACAGATGATCAGTGGCTAACAAAAGTGGAAAACAAACGAAAAGTGCCACTTTAACCGGAAAAATAACCGGACGAATTAGCACATTTTAAACTTAAACAGAACTAGATACAGGGGGCGTATGTAACTAACCTAGTCCTATACCGCCATCTTCTGTTCAAAGTTCATAATTTGAGCAGGAAATGACGTTGGGTTGGACTAGCACGTGTGCAGGAAAGCATGTAGCTGTAGCACGGTGTAAGCTGTTTAGGTGAGTGAATTTTTTGTATAGATATCAGACAGTTGGCTATATTCATCGAAAAGAGGAAGGCAATCATGTCCGAGCCTGACAGCTATCCGCCACCCAATTTTAGCTGTCCAGCTCAACAGCCAGTGCTCAGACCGCCGGCTTTTCAGTGGACTTCTCAGCAGCGCGCAGAGAAGTTCCAGGCTTCCAGAGACTGGAGCTGGATTCAGTCTGCACCACCAGTAGCCTGGAACCCCAGCTCCAGCCCCACTGCCCCCTTCAGTGGTTATCAGGGTCCTTACTATCCGAATTACGTTCAACATCGATATCCCGGTGAGTTGTAGTGGTATGTGAAAAGATTGTGGTGATTAACTGTGGTGTTGTTAACTAACGTCATTGTCTGTACATATATTACCACATGCCTTAATTGTCCAGCTTTTACTGAGTTTTCATTTGTTTTTTTAAAGGTCCACATCATCATGACTACCAATACGGGAGACAAGGCCATGGCCAAAACCAGTGGGGCAAAAGAGTAATACTCGTTTTCTTTTTTGTAGATTTTGTTCTGCTTTGATTATGTTTGTCCATCTCTCTGTAGACTTACAGCAAATTCTAACAGTTGTAAGCAAAAAAGCGGAATAAGTAACTTACACCAACATATGTGCGTTGTTTATTTCAGCAGAAAAAGCAGAAAGAACCAGAGTTCAGTCACTTTTGTGACACTTGTGACAGAGGCTTCAAACACCAAGCCAAGTACGATGAGCATGTTGCTCAGCATGTAAAGGTAATTCACTGTTCCACCTGGAAGTCAGACCTGAGTTACAAAGACAAAACTGCAGAGCTTCGAGATCAAGAATGTTCGTCATTTATTGTTAGAGCATGAATGTATTTTGTAAATTATTTATATTATATAGTAACTTATATTAACATTAAATTACTTTTGTAGTGCTCAGTTGATGACTGCAGTTTTGCTGCCCATGAGAAACTTGTACAGATTCACTGGAAAAACGTAAGTACTCTTGTTCAGTAATGTGTGGAATCATATGTTTGTAAATACTGTACCATACTTGAATATAAATTCAATAGTACCTTTTGTGATAAACAAGACCAGGGCTAGCTTACACCACGTTGTCTTTCAGAATCATGCTCCTGGAGCAAAACGAATCAAGTTGGACACCCAAGAGGAGATTGCAAAATGGAGAGAAGAACGGAGAAAGTATTCTATCCTTTCTATCATTCTATCCTTTTTTAAAAGCTTCACACCAAAATAAATGTATTATCAATCTTTAAAAGAAAATGAGTGCATGTATTACTTTATTTTTTGGGTGCCAACGTTATCAACTGGAGATTTTAATTAAATATTTCTGTTTTTAGGAACTACCCAACACTGAGCAACGTGGAGAAGAAAATGAAGATGATGAAGGTCAAAGAAAAAAGGGGAGATGTGCTGGAGACTGCCCAGTTTGGGTTCGTTGTGAATTGATAAGTACTTTTTATGTGGGTGAACACTTTCTGTATGCTGCATGAGAACAGCTGTGACAGTCTGCGTCAGTTAGCGATGTTTGCCTTTCAGTGTAAGTCAAATTGGTGTTTGCATTTAAGCAAACGTTAAACAGTCGTTAATTGATTTATACTTTTTAAACAGTCGATTTAAAAGTCGTGGAAGAGGATTCCAGAATCATGGACAAGGTGCGTATGGTGGTCATCAGTATACTGGAAGTGCAGAAGTGGAGCAGCCACAGGCCCTCACCCGACCTCCTTACAATGGAGACCCTCTTGGAGCCCTGGCCAATAGTGACCCAGGTTAACAAAGCAATTCGCTGCTTTCTAGTCAAAAACAAGCAACATCATTCAACGTATTCAAGCTAAAGGGACTGATACATTTTTGTCTGTAAATCCTTTTTTAGATTCTGAGAAAGATGAACCAGTTAAGGAGACAAAGGTTGCCATTTCAGTGGCCCCCAAGAATATGACTTCTGCTTTGGGATCACTTATGTCTAGCTATGGAGACATGACAGAGAGTGAGGAAGAACCAGATGGTGAGTGACCCACTGATGGATTCTTCTATCTAATGCAGCTTCAGAGAAACATTAACAGTAACTATGTTTACATGTACACAATATCCCAGTTAAATTCTGGGTTAGTCTAAAAAACTGGACCTGACAAAGATGTTTGTATGAGCTGTATAAAAGATGAGCTTAATTGTGGTCTAAATTCATATAACACACCTTAGTTTACCCATGAGATCCTTTATGTTTAAAATCTCGAAAGTGCAGATCTTTCTCCTTTGTCACTTGTGTTTTAGTGTCAAAAAGCTGAAAATTGAATTGCAGAAAAGGCTGCAAAATGTTGCAGAAGCTTTATGTGCGAGTCATTGGAGCAATCATAAGGCATACATGTCTTAATAGTCGAGTCCATATAAGACTGGACTGCACCTTCAGTTTTAGACTGTGGGAGTTTCGTTTTAGAATTGATGGTTCAACGTTAGGCCATGACTAATATTGAAGCATTGGTATGTAAGTAAACATAGTTACTGTGTAATCTTAATAGTTAAAAGAAAGATCTATTTGTATCTAAAAGTACTTAACAGATGTCTGTTCTTGGGTTCAAATGTGTTTTTAGTATGCGGTGGCCTATTGTCTCATCTGTCCATAGAACCTAGTTCCAATCCCAGTGATGTTTAGTTTCCTTGGGGCCCTTATTTGATTTTTGACAGTAGCTAGAACAAAAAGCCTATCATCTCATCTGACCATAGAACCCAGTTTCAATCCCATGTTTGTGTTTTGACAGTAGCTAGAACAAAAGGCTTTTGCAAGCCTTCTAAATAATTTGTTGGAATGCAGATGGTGTCTAATTGCAGATTTGGAAACTTGGTTACCCCAGGTTTAAACCAACTCCTACAACTGTCCAACTATGATCCTGTTCACTGTGTGTGGATGTGGATGAAACAGACTTACGTCTTCTTCCAAGCAGGTTCAGCACAGTTTCAGTTGTCTCAGCCCCGTAACAGTGGAGATGGGTTTTTCAGATGTCAGGCTGTTTTTTTTAATAGCCTTTGCTTTAATATTGAAGGTCAACAAAATTTTGTTTTAATTTATTTGTGTATTCCTGCTTTTTGCTTATTTTGTTTTATAAGGATGCCTATAATTCTGCAGGGAGCTGTATAAAACTGTACAGTGGGTCCCTTTCTCCTTTAAAATGTAGTTAATTTGAGGTACACACCAAAAATGTAGACAGCAGTCTGGTAAAAATAGTGATGACTCCATATTTGTGCACCTACTAATTTAGAAGGTTAATAATGATCAAATGTGAACACCTACCTATTTGCTACTTTCGATGCATTTTTATATGACATGAGTATGCGGCATAATCCTGTAAGTTGACTGAGGCCATTACAACCAATGAACACTGGGTTTTGTTTACAAATGGAGTTTGTAAACAAAACAAAAACACCAAGACTGAATAGAATACTTATTTATACGATTTGAAAATCTTTCAGATACTCCTATCTTGAAAACTGCTCAGGCTTTGGAGGAGAACAAGGTCTTGCTGGCAGCTCATTCTGCCCCTGCCCAGAACTGCGTACTAAAGCTTGAAAAGATGCCAACAGTTGGGGAATCTGAGACTGTCCACCAAGTACTGCACCCTTTGCCTGACCAAAGTAACGGAAGGGGTCATGAAGGCCAAGGGGGATGGGGTAGACGGGGTGGCAGAGGTGGTCATGGTCCCGGCAGAGGTCCACAGAAACGCCGTCCCACCCTGCTGGAGATGGTAAGAAAAACGAGAACAACATACATGAAATTCTGTTATTTACAGTTTTGCTTGATTTTATCAAGATGTATTTACTGATATGATAAAGGAACTTCAAACAAAGTAATGTGATACATACCACTTCACATTTTATTGTAAAATGTTTTATTTATTATATTATTTATTTTCTGATTTACAGTTGTTGGCTTCAGATATTCGACATGAAAGGAATGTGATGCTCCAGTGCATTCGCTACATTATCCGTAATGGATTCTTCGGCCTAGCTTGTAAAAGCTCTAACCTGATAGTGCCTGAAAGCGCAGCAGTAACTAAGAATTGCACCAATAATGAGGTTAGTAGAAGAGGTACAATAGGGGAGAGTGTGACTGGAACACATACAAGCTGCCTGGCAAGTCAATCACAACAGGAGAACCTTCTCTTTTTGTCACAGGATAATCAAAGATGTTATATGGAAGCCACAGAGCTCCACCTGGAACCTGAAGGAATTTTACAGTGCTGTCAGAGTGATTCCAGAAAAGTCTGTCATGGCTCAGCTGATACCCCAGTTGAGCTTAAGGATATCAGTGAAGATGCTACTGCACCACTTAAGCCAACACAAACTGCTCAGCCAAGGGTACTTTCAATGTTATTTGCTAAGAGCTTAGTAGCTGATGACTGTTCCAGTGGTCTACCACAAGATAGAGATCATCCTTACAAGTCCACAGAGGCAGTAGACCAGCATGAGCACTGCCATACGTCACAAAAGGCAGCTCAGCAAGTGTCTAACAGTAGCCATAAGGCTTTAACTGATGCTGATCATGCTTTTGTTGATGTGGTAAATATCAGACATGCAGTTTACTCATCTCAGAACACAACAGACCTCACCACAGGGATCTTGCAGGAAAATGTTCAGAGCTTAAGTTCTAATGAAAAGCAAATCATGGTCCAGAATCATGACCAACCTCAGCAGCTTACTGGGGAGACATCATTACACCAGGGACTGAAGAATGAATGTGATGTTTCCACAGCAGTTGGAATAACAAAGCAGGAGGAGCCAAAAATGCTTATGAATGAAGAGGCACATGTTCACCCTATCATGTCCGTCTATGATGATGACATCTGGGAGATTTCTGCAGTTACCAGTGATGCCATGTAGATCATGTTGATCAGTTTGATTTGTCAATTTGTAACAAAGACCAAGACCTTCTGAATTTATTGATATTCTGTTTCACCTATGTTACAGGCATTGTGACAGTTTATTGGTTTCTTTGTAACATTTATCTTTGCATCTGATTTAATTAATCATGTTGTACATTGATAAGCAATATTGAGTTTCCAACAAGTTATGATTTAATATACTAGGATGTGTGCACATTTAATGTTAAGTAAAACCTTTTATAAGGAAGCATTCTTTCTCTGATTATGTATCCAAGTTGCCTAATCGACTTCTGTCAATCAATTAAAAAAAATGTGCAGGTATTGTAGTGGAATGCAAATTTACTATTATTTAAGTCAATTGCTTTGCTGTAGGTTAACCTGTCACTTTAATATCTCTCTCTCTCTCTCTCTCTCTCTCTCTCTCTCTCTCTCTCTCTCTCTCTCTCTCTCTCTCTCTCTCTCTCTCTCTCAAGAAGAATCTTCTCCGTTAGGGGAGTGAGTTCACTGCAGGCCCAAGAGGTTCTGCATTGTTTTCCATCATTATAGCATCAGTTCAGCTGTGAGACATATAGTGGTGAAATGTAAAACCATGGAGTATTTTCATCATTTTTCAGCTCATCCAAACAAAGACACTGTAGGAAATCTGCTCTGCTGTAGCCTACTGGTTTGTTAATGCCTCTATAGCAGTTCGTTGTTCTAACAATATTTGGTCAAAAGCATTAAAAAAAAAAACAATAAAAAAGTACATGAATACATTATGTAATATTATTTAGGGATCTGTTTAAAATTAATTTAGACTTATATAGGTTTCTCATCACTTCTCTTTACCACAATTCATGGGTTACTTCTCAGTCATTGCTGATATCTGATTACTTTGCCATATCGCCCAGCCCTACTCACAAGTCAGCTGACTGACTACTGAAGTTACCATATGTGACAGTTTGATACAACCAGATATTTGCTTAATGAGGATTAAGTAAACCATTTGTTCTCGTATCCAAATTGCACAAGAGGCTTTGGTCATTCATGTAAATACTGTGCAGGTGTTCTAGTGGAATGCACACAGAAGCTTGTTCCCTGTTCTGTCAGCCTTTAATAGACTGAGTGACCCACTTTTTGACCAAAAGCTAGGTTACGGCAGTATGGAATCTCTTTGCAAAGACTGTGGTTATGGACATTGATGTCCCGGGGGTCGCGAAGGCGGAAAGTTAATCCGAATAGGGAGAGTCAAAATAGACGTGCTAAAGATACGCTTTGTGCCATTAATAAATAACACAGCCTTATGCACAGAAGTATAAAAGATGAACTCGCCTACTGTCAACAGCGTCAGTTCAAGCTGTCCTGAAGCCTGCTGTAGAAGTTCACACGAACTGGTCCTGGATCAGCGGTAAATTCTTGCAAGGGCCAGAATTCCGCGTGCGCCGTGCGGCTTCTCCTCCCACTCCCGTCGTCAGAGCTGGACCTGCTAGCTCGTTGGTTAGCATGCTAACTGCATTCAGCTATGGCAGCGGGGTGGCTGAAGATCATAGGAAAGAGGATGATACAGCAAACCTTGAACTGAAACAACTGCGCGATGGATTTAATTGTTCGACAAGCTTACGAAGAACATTAACAACTGGACGAGGATTTTAACGCACTCGTTGGATTAACTGCGTTCTTATTTTAACCAAACAATTAACCAAACAAATATGCATTGCAGTTCAACAGCGTCTGCCCCAGCGTGATGGAGGTGATGTCGTATGACAACTGTTTGTATTGAATTATCTTGCTAGCCAAATACCGGCGTTGTATAATATCAAATGTCAGTCTCGAAACTAGATTTGTTGCAGTATATATTTACATATAAATATGTGTTGTAGATAGATATTTAATTGGGCTTGACAGTTGCACGCAGTTTTGTCTGTGTTTGAGACTTGTCATTTAGCCAGCAAGCTAGCAATCGCTAGCCTTGCCAAGTATTGGCTATTTTAGCTTGTAGCTAGCTGGTTGACACTCAGACGCTAGCTGTGACTATACTTAGCGACCTAGTAAGCTATTTCATGTACGCAGAAGCCTTTTTGTAAACCTTACTACACATTACTTTTCAAGTCGATTTTATTGTTGTGGGCTGTCGTCGTGCCTTCTTACAGTTCTCGGCGTTCTCTGGTTTGTTCTGTGAATCTTTAAATGGGGGCTATACAGTTTGCTAGGTCCTGCTAACGACGTCATTGCATAGGCACTAGCTTGTAAGCTAGCTAAGACTTTTTAGTCTCGACAAAGCAGAGAGCTACGTTTGCCTCTCCCTACTCATAGAAGAATCAGTCATTTTTACAAAATGCATCACTCGGACTCAACAGGGGACTCTCCCGGGACTAGGAAGATGGCGCACGCATCAGTTTTCAGCAGCCGTAGGGGCAGTAACACGGGAAGTGGTGGCACCTCTTCCTCGTCGAACGCGGCCAGCGTGAACTGTAATGCGCTCCCGACCGATGACCACCAGACATCACTGATTATGCACCATACACCTCCGACTGGATCGTCCTCTCCCGGCCCCCACCATCCTCCTCCTCCCCACAGCCTTAACATACACGGCCAGTCTCAGTCTCTCCAAAGCGCCGGGGCCCAGGTGAAGAAGAAGAGTGGTTTCCAAATTACAAGCGTCCTCCCGGCACAGGTTAGTGCTAGCACGAACAACAGTATAGCAGATGATACAGAGAGCTATGATGACATGGACGAGTCACATACCGAGGACCTGTCCTCATCCGACATCCTTGATGTGTCTGTGTCCCGGGCCACTGATACAGGGATTCCTGAAAGAAGCTCTTCAGAAGAAACACTGAATAGCTTACATGGAGGAGAGACTCCAGGAGTTGTGTCACCCAATGAGCCAGTGATGCACCACTCACACTCTCAGTCCTCTCAACAAGGATATATGGTGAATGGGACTGTTCATCACCATGGTCACCATCACCATAGCCACCAGCCTCATGGACACCACAAGGACCAGGGGACTCACTCTGTGGCTGCCCCTCAACCAGTTCAAGGGGTGCCTGGATCCTCTGCATCAGTAGCCAGCGTTGCTCCAACTGCAGCCACCTCAGCCCAGTCTGTGCAGGGTAGAACCCAGAGAGCCCCTTCAGTCCGTGCTGCTGTAGCGGAGGCTAGTACAACTGGCATAGTGAACCAGGCCTTATCTGCAGTGTCAAGTTCTACGAATAGTTCCAGTGGAACAGGGATTCCAGGATGTGTGGTGGGGGCCACAGCAGTCGGAGGGAGTCTCCCTTGTACCACAGGGGCCACAGGAAACACCATGACAGGAATTGCAGCTGCACAGCCTCCTCCAGCTACCAGCACTGCTCAGATTCCAGTTACTCCTGCTTCCACAGCCACTGCCTCTCGTTTCAGGGTGGTGAAGTTGGACTCCAGCTCAGAGCCATTCAGGAAGGGAAGGTGGATGTGCACAGAGTATTATGAGAAAGAAGCTCCTGTTGCAACCCAATCCACAGATGCACCACTCACCCATCGAGCTGTGGAGAGTGTCATCCAGTCTGAGAATGAAAGCACAAGTGGAAGTTCTTCCAGCAGCACGATGAGTGGTGGAGGGGATCATGGAGCGCAGCCTGTTCAGCAGGCCTTCACCGCAGCTGCTTTGCCAGTTTCTCACCAAGGTATTCCCCAGCCCTCCACTCAACTTCATACACATCCCCAGGATCCTGGAACACATGCTGCTGTTCCACCTGCTGTAGCCCCACCTAACAACCCACAGATTGTTCCAGTTCCAGGTCTGTTGGGAACTGAGGGTCAGCTTCCCCCTGCCAGACCCCAACAGCAGGTTCCTTACACCTTAGAGGGCCAAGCAAGCCAACTGCAGAGTGGATACCCTATAAATCAGCAGGCAGCTATGCCTGTGAACCAGGGCTTACAGCCTGTAGATTATGCCCAGATTTCACAGGGCCTCCAGGCTGCAGCTCAGCCTCATCAGATGCCACCAGTGCAGGGCAGTGTGGTGCCTAGGGCAACCCCAGTGCCCACACAGATACCTGGCCTACCAGTTGGTACTCCAGTGGCTGTTCCACAGGCTGTATCTCCAAGGCCCCAAGTTCCAGCTCCACAGTTGGTCTTGGCACAAGGAAACACGATAAGTCAGGCCCAGCCACATCCACCCCAAATACCATCAGAGCAACAACAGCAAGCTGCTGCCAGTCAGCCACCTCCAGCATCCTCCTCGTCTACAGGCCAGACTGCACCCAGTATACCTTCCTCTGCTATTCAGAGCAACCTTCAACCAGGCCTTCCTCAGGCCCTTCAGCATGGAGGAGCTGTTGCAGGCCACTCTGGTGGACTAGGCCTGACCTTGCGCCATCAAAGCGGCCAGCTTCCATCAGCAGGAGGTCATTACGGTGGAATGGCCCCTCTGACAGCCTCCCAGCTTGAAGATGCTGGGCGTCTGCTCTTCCAGCACCAGTCTCTTCTATCTCTGCCCCGGCTGGCTGCAGGAGGGGTGGCAGGGCTCGCTGGACAGAGTGCCTCAGAGGCAGGTGCCACTCTTGGACAAGAGGGCAGCGCAAGTGCAGATGCCTGTGCCTTAGCTACTTCAGTGGGCACAGATGAGGACAGGTAAGAGTCAAGATGTCAAATATTATTCACTGAAGGAATACTAATGACACTTTTACTTTACTGTTGCACTCCTGTATACTCACCCATGATGCTAACTGTGTGTTTGTGAAAAATTATGAAAAGCCCCCTTTTTTTGCACTGTATTGCCAAAATCTTGACATCCTCACTCTTTCATTGGTATTTGAATGGTCTGTTCAGGAACAGGCCTCCAAGTGTGTGTCTTATTCATGTACTCCAGTTTTTGTCCTTGAGTAAAATGCTCTGTCTCCTTACTCTGTGTTTTCTTATAAGTGGTCAGTGTTGGGCCAGTATGCTCCTTCTAAATATAGCACTGTTGTCTCATTGAACCTACCAACCCCCCCACCCCCAATATTATTGCTAGAATGGTACCCTTTCCTACTTCCCCTGTGCACTGGAAACTGAAGGGCAATTGAAGCTCCTTGAAAGAACCTCAAAGATACAGTGTTTATTATGTGCTGACCATTTTTGTCCATTAACCATAGCTGGGATACTCGAATATCCTTGCCTTTTTCCTTTTTCTTTTTGAGGGGGTTAGTCTTTTGTCAGTTCTTGTGTTGTCTGATGTTGAAGCTGAAGGTGCCAATTAATAAGCTGTAGATTTATATGATTTAAATGATTAAAAGATTTATGTTGTAACTTTGACATATATATTTTATGTTAAAATGATGCTCCCTCTTGCACTGTAAATCAGCCTGGGGTGTA